ATAGTAATGATTTAACTTATAAGTTGAAGCAAAAGAAGCAGAAGTCATGCTTAATTACGAAAAAAGACTTGTTGTTGTGACTTACTGTATGCACTTCGGAGTTCTCATCCAGCTTGATGCTGAAGCGCCTACCACCAACTAGGTGAGGCCTGTCGCACAGGCCGCGCTCGTCTCCGCAGTATTCGCACATATCGAATTCCTTTCGCTATCGTCGTCAGACATTTCCTATGTTCATATAGTTGAAACAGACGTGCATTCAATAAGCAAAACTAAATCATAAAACAAATTAGTATTCAAATTAGCATGCATTCAATAAGAAAACTAAATCATCTCTTGTGTTCGTACATCGTCGAATATTATCACTAATACATCTCGAATCGTATCATACATATAACATCACTAATACAGCTAGAACCCTAGCGAACGACGGGTATCGGCGCGGGCAGTGGACACCCAAAGAGAAGGAACCATCACAGGATCATAGCTCCAGTGAGATCCCTGAAGAACCATCCAGGTATTGTCGGACCTGCCCTCCAACACAACCATGTAGCGACGGACGTGCTCATCCTCCTCACTGACACGGTGAGATACCACCTCTGCGATGGATGAAAGCCTCCCCACCGTCACTGGCCCATGCGACCGCCACCAAATAAGGTTCGGGTCGACGACGGGCTGCCTCCTCACCAAGCTGCGCGCCCCTGAAGGTAGCACCTCCCAGTACCAGCCAGGCGGAGCCCAGTCCCGGACATGGCCCCTATAATCAAGCAAGCCTCCTCCGCCGAGTCGACGACAAGGATGCGGGCCAGGCATAGTCGACGTCGAGAACAAATGCTTAATTATGAAAACAAAATTAATAAACACTTAGCAAAATTCGGCATGACCTTTGCTAAAAACAGGACATATCGAGTGCCTGAAATTTGCCATAACATAAAAATATGGCAAAACATAGGCCACTCGGAAAAATATGACATGTCCAAAATATGACATGTTCAAACTATGACATGTCCACTGCAAATTTGCATATAACATGAAAAATTGCTTTAACTAAAAAAATAACAACAATTGCTTTAACTAAATAAATACCTAGAATTTGTTAAGTACACCTAAAACAACTAAAACACCTAGAATTATGTTAAATACACCTAAAACACCTAAATTCTATTAACTACACCTAATTAAAAACCTAGATAAATTTATGTCCTAATTTAAAAACCTAGATAAGTTTCTGTCCTAGTTTTAAAACCTAGCTAATTTAAAAACCTAGGGTTCATACAAATTAACTAGGGTTCATACTACCTAATCTCTAATTAGGATTCAACTATATAGGATTCAAAATAACTAACTAGGAAGGGAGGGAGGAGGAGGAGGAAGGAGGGAGGAGTACCTCTCGGTGGAAGAGGGGCGGCGTGGGGGAGGATGGCCGGCGCGGGGGAGGGCGGCCGGTGGGGGAGGAGGGCCGATGCGGGGGAGGGCGGCCAGCGGGGGAGGAGGGCCCGCGCGGGGGAGGGCGGCCGGCGTAGGACACGGGGGCGGCAGCCGGACTGGGGGATTGAGGGACGCGTGAGTGTGAGCGTGTGAGTGTGAGAGTGAGAGAGAGAGCGCACGCGGGCCGGAGGGGAAGCAGAGGTGGGCTTACCAGCAGCGTGGGGTAGGAGGCCCAGCGCTATAGCTAAAGCTGCAACAATGGGCCGAGTGTGTGGCCCACTAACAGCAGCGCTGGCCTGGAAAACAAGCGCTACTGCTAACGTGCACTTGCAGCGCTGGTTTTGGCCGGCGCTACTGCTAAATAGCAGTAGCATGGGGTATATAACCAACGCTACTGCTAAATGTCATCATAAGAAGCCTTGCAAGCAAAGTGACTAAAGAGTTAGTTGCAAGATGATGTATTACGGAACGAGTAAAAAGACTTTCCGGTAACGAGATTGAACTAGGTATAGAGATACCGACGATCGAATCTCGGGTAAGTAACATACCGATGGATAAAGGAAACTACGTATGTTGTCATAACGGTTCGACCAATAAAGATCTTTGTAGAATATGTAGGAGACAATATGGGCATCCAGGTTCCGCTATTTGTTATTGACCGGAGAGGTATCTCGGTCATGTCTACATAGTTCTCCAACCCATAGGGTCCGCACTCTTAACGGTCGTTGGCGGTATAGTTTTATATGAGTTATGTGTTTGGTGACTGAATGTTGTTCGGAGTCCCGTATGACATCACGAACATGACGAGGAGTCTCAAAATGGTCAAGAGATAAATATTGATATATAGGACAATGGTATTTGGACACCAGAAGTGTTTCGGGACGTACCGGGAAGAAATCGGGTAACCGAAAGGGGTTCCGGGCCCCCCCAGCATGTATATGGTCTTAATGGGCCAAGGGAGGGACAGACCAGCCCACAGGGGGCTAGTGCGCCCCTTTCCCTGACAAACAACCCTAGGGAAGGAAAAGGAGGAGGGCTAGCCCCTCCTGCCTTTCCCTCTCATGGGAGAAAGGAAAGGGGGCGCCACCCTCCCCTGCATTTCCCCCGCTTCTATACATGGCAGGAGGGGCGCCACACAAGAACACAATATTGTCTTAGCCATGTGCGGCGCCCCCGTCCACTGTTTACTCCCTCGGTCATATTTTCGTAGTGCTTAGGCGAAGCCCTGCGGAGATCACATCACCATCATTATCACCACACCGTCGTGCTGTCGAAACTCATCTACTACCTCGACGTCTTACTGGATCAAGAAGGCGGGGGACTTCACCAAGCTGAACGTGTGCAGAAGACGGAGGTGTCGTGCGTTTGGTACTAGATCGGTTGGAGCGCGAAGAAAGTTCGACTACATCAACCGCGTTATGAAACGCTTCCGCTTACGGTCTACGAGGGTACATAGACATACTCTCCCCCTCGTTGTTATGCATCTTCATGGATAGATCATTGCGTGTGCGTAGAATTTTTTTTGGTTTTCCATGCAAGCGTTACCCAACATTAGGCGCAAGTGGAGCGGTTCTCGGGCGATGGCCATCAAGGGTTCAAAAGCAGACAAGAAGCAGAAGCTAGTTATTTGAGGTTCACGCTAGCGCGAGAGAGGACTCATAACTGCCGCCTCATGTGCTGCATAGTTCCGCTCTCACTTATAATGATAGCTCTTCTCGTGTATATCATTGTTTAGATGGATGAAGATGTAGTTTTAAGTATTCGAGACTTGTATCGCTATTTCGAGATGATGAGGAAAGACCACTTTATGTTGGATGATGATTATGATGATGACATAGTTTAATGAGAGTATTTGTATGTGTATGCTATGATTACATTTGTATGTGTATGATATGCTACAGGTTATTGTACAAAGCCTGTACAAATACCGACGGACGTCTGATGTTGCCCTATGTCTAAATTTGTTGTGCCGATGTTGGGGACATCGCTTATCGAGAACTTGTCGGTCGACCCATGATAAGGGGTAAATCGACCAGTTTGTCGGCATATCGGTCGATTTATCGCCATATCGGCTGATTTATTCGCCGATTTATCTTATCGGCTAGACAATGGTAAGCGATAAATCAGTCGATTTATCGGAATATCGAAAGATATCTTGAACAGTGCCCATGGATAATGCACAGATAGTCAACTACTCCATCCGTTCCATAATTCTTGTGAACGGATGAGGAATTATGGGATGGAGGGAGTAACACATAAAAAACGGAAAAACTAACGCCCACATGTGTGGGCGTTTGCAGATCGCTCACACGCCTCCATCACCACTCATTTTGCCATGTATGAATAGATGATATCAGCAGAAATCTTTTTGGTTTTCGGCTTAAAAATGTTTTATCTCCTAAATAAAAAAGCGAACTAAAAATCCGTTTTCATCATTAAATCCGTCTCAACGAGATCTTCAAAACTAGACCCCATGTTGATATGTTTTGACAAAAAAAAAATTTGCCCAGAAATTGCCATGATGTTTACACTGTAGTTGTCATAGTGCTTAAACTAAAATTGCCATGTGGCAATTTTAGTTTGTAGATCATGGTAATTTTAGTATTTTGATGATGGCAATTCTAGTACTTTGACCATGAAAATATATTTTTTATTGAATGGCAATTTTAAGTGCATGTATCATAGCAATTTTAGTTTATGGTGCATGGAAAGTCTAGTTTCTTAATTCTCCGTTTTATAATATGTTAAAATTTACTTTTAAATGTGAAAGAAAATAGTTGAAACATATCATGGCAACTTTAGTGTAAAAATCATGGCAATTCATGTGCAATAGACATGGCAACTTTTAACCAAAAAAAAATTCGTCAAAATATATCGATATGAGATCTAGTTTTGAAGATCTCATCGCGAGGGATTTAATGGTGAAAACGGATCTTCAATCGGATTTTCATTTAAGAGATAAAATATTTTAAAAACTGAAAATCCGAAAAGATTCTCGCATGCATGCATGCGATGACATGGCAATCTATTTGCATTAGAGACGTGCGGAGCGTCTCTTTTCCTGCCACACGTGTGGCAGTTATCGACGCCCTAAAAAAATGATATGGCTAGCTGTCAGTCGACTAAGAATTAAGTAAGTTTAAGTCAAGTGACATAACATGTAAGAAAGAGAAATAATGTATAAAAAAATCCACAAATTTCCACGTAAGATCCCACAAAAATAGCATTGATTGAGAATTAACAATCCCATAAAAAGAATCACTTTGTCAACCATATTGTTGCGAAACCGATCTGCCATCGGACAACCACGCAGCAAAAGTCAGAAGTCTCAGGTCACCAAGGTTGGGGCATCTATGCACATCTAGGGCAAGCAAGGCCGCTCGCTAACTCATGATGCAAGTCAACCCATCACCCACGTGATCTGCCCTCAAGCCCCCAACTGGGTAAGTTGTACAACCCTTTTTATGAACTGATTGACATGTGGTGCTAGATTTATATTAATCCTGTATATCGAGTTAGACGGCCCACGTACGTACATATATTCCATGTTGTGGTGTAGCTGTGGCACATGCCCGATGGAAGGACCGTGGCCGAGAGCAATGGCGGCCTGGTGGTGGTGGATGTCGCTGCTTCTTCTCGGCATTGCCGGCTGCGGCGGCGTTCTTCAAGTCCATGGCCAGGTGGATAACTTAGGTGAGCCCATCGTACATGCGTGCAACGTTACATATATGGCATTACCTTCAGAAACATTGCAAGTGCTTAATTTATAATTTGCGTCCGCGGGCCAGGTTTCATAAGCCTGGACTGCGGCCTGCCGGAGAATGCCGCCGGCTACGTGGACAGCACCACCAAGCTGCGCTTCACCTCAGACGCCGGCTTTATCAACGCGGGCACCAACCACAACATGTCGTCCGAGTACATCACGCCGTTGATGGGCAAGAGCTGGCACAATGTTCGTAGCTTCGGTGGCGGCGCTGGCGCGCGGAGCTGCTACACGCTCGGCCCCCTCGTGGCCGGGCTCAAGCACCTCGTCCGGGCCAAGTTCATGTACGGCAATTATGACGGCCTCAACAAAGCGCCCGTCTTCGACCTCCACGTCGGCGTCAACTACTGGACGACCGTGAACATCTCGAACGCCAACACGCCGGAAATCTACGAGATCATCGCCGTCGTTCCTGGCGACTCGGCCGAGGTGTGCCTCGTGAACACGGGCTCCGGGACGCCCTTCATCTCCGCCCTCGACCTAAGGCCCCTCGAGAACGGACTGTACCCGATGTCGAACTCGACGCAGGGGCTGGTTCTTCTCACCAGATCCAACTTCGGCCCAACCGACGGTGTAATCCTCAGGTATCCCGACGACCCGCACGACCGTTTTTGGATCCCGCAGAGCAAGCCGACGGAATGGTCAGAGATCTCCACGGCGAAGAGAGTGCACAACATGGAGGGCAGCAGCTTCGACGTGCCGTCGGCCGTGATGCAGACCGCCGTCACCCCCATCAACTCCTCCAGCCCCATCCAGTTCACCTGGGACGCCGAGCCCAGCGCCAACGTCCCAGACCCCGGATACATCTGCATCCTGCACTTCTCCGAGCTCCAACCTCTCCCGGTCAACGCCCTGCGCCAGTTCTACGTCACCCTCAACGGCCAGCTCTGGCTTGGGAAGGGCTTGACGCCGCAGTACCTCTACACCAACGCCGTCTTCAACGGCATCCCCAGCCACGGGTCCCACCAGTACAACGTCTCGCTCAACGCCACTACTAACTCCACGGTCCCACCCATCCTCAACGCCATTGAGATCTTCTCCGTGTTGCCCACGACTGGCATAACCACGGCCACTCAGGACGGTAAGCAAGTACAGTTCTTTTCTTAAGAAGTTCTTCAGATGCAATAGTATACGTAGCGTTTCACTCAGGATGAAGCAGTTAATTGTACTCAGCTGATATATTTGTGTGTTTCGCCGCCGAGATATGCAACAGTGTCTGCCATGGCGGCGATAAGAGGAATGTACAAGGTGAAGAAGAACTGGATGGGCGATCCGTGCATGCCCAAGAATTTCGCGTGGAAAGGATTAGGTTGTAGCTATACTGTCTCCAGCCCACCAATTGTCACAGGCCTGTGAGTTATATCTTTCTGACTGTTATTTTCCTTGTTATTAAATTAAGTATAGTAGTAGTAGTGGTGGTGGTGGTGGCTGGGATTATTGAGCTATTGTTGTATGCATTTATGTTGTAGGAATCTATCCTCCAGTGGCCTCAGTGGCAACCTGTCATCTTCTTTTGCTGGTCTCAAAGGTTTACAATACTTGTAAGTAGGACATTGTTAAGCTAGTAGCCATTGCAACTCTAATTTTTTCTAGCTAGCAGCAATCAAACTGTCTAACTGGAACTTCACGAATCTGTAGGGATTTGTCACGCAATAATCTTACCGGCTCAATTCCTGACACCCTTTCGCAATTGTCGTCGCTCACGCTTATGTAAGTGATCGGTATATACTTTCCAAATCCTTTCCTACTAAACATCACATCTCATCAAAAAACTGTTGTGTTTCTTTCAGAGATTTGACAGACAATCAGCTCAATGGATCAATTCCTCCTGGGCTTGTGAAAAGAACTCAAGATGGCTCCCTAACACTTAGGTTGCTACTACCCTGCCCTCCAGCATCATAATTTCTCAATTAGAGTTCCCAGATCTCATCTCATCTCATCTCATCATAATTTCTCAATTAGAGTTCCCAGAACTCAAGATGGCTCCCTAACACTTAGGTTGCTACTACCCTGCCCTCCAGCATCATACATTTTATATATCTTGAATCAGCAGCCATGTTTTAATCTACGTTTTTTTTTACTTCTTTCCCAAGATATGGCAACAATCCAAACCTCTGCAGCAGCAGCAACTATTGTGACGCCAGGTATGTGATAGGGAAATAAGAGGGCAAACACAATGCACAAATGTCCCCTAACCTATTGTGAACTTTGGGAACAACTTCAACTAACAGATAACATGCACAAGTGACACCTTATTTTACATGGGAAACCTCCTCAACTAGAAGAGTAAAAAAATCACGGCTATTGTCCGACCAGTCCACACAAGTTGTCTTCATAGAACCTCTAGATATTTTCAAATCACTCTCCGTGTTGCCAAAACCGGCAACAGCAACAGCAACCGCAAAGTGGAAAATTTTCAGCAAAGTAGAGTTAAGAGTCCTATGTCTTCTCCTCTAATTTGATGGCTGCTCTAAAACCGCTAAACAAAGCGACATGAAATTTGGCAGAAAAGTAGACACACAAGCTCCAAAGATACATTCGAAATTTCAGATCAAATAGAAATTGTTTGCTGGGCCACTATGTCCGTTTCTCAAAATTACTCTATGTGAAACTGGAATAACATGAACTGATAAAACCGCACTCAAATCTAATGCTCCACTAATGCAATACTCAAACAAGCTAACAATATCATCAAGTTTGATGCCAATCCAAGCACGTTAAAGCCTCCGATCACCGGATTGAACACTATCTGGTCATATGTGGCAAATATTGATATAATCCCGTCTTCTTTTTCTTCCTCTCTTCTCAAATGTTTTTTCTTCTTGTATGCGCTCTATCTATCTCACAATGGCAGCCCCCACACATGGGGTGGAGTGGCTAGGTTTTCATCTTTGCTCCTTTCTCAAGGAGGCTTTTCACCCATATGGTGGATATGAGATCAATGTCTCAAGCATGTTGGACTTACGGATTGTAGTTGGTCTGCCAAGTGCCAACACACCTCCATGTGAAGGGACTTGCACAACAATATGTTTTGATGACTTGAGCCTACGCTCCATTTCTGTTGAAATAAATCCAACTCAGGCGTCAGAATCCGTTAAATCTGTGGTTTAGACCGTCAAAGTTCTTACATCTTTGCAGTATAGGAGTACTCGTGGTGAATTGAAGACGAAATGGGTAAGCAAAGAAATCATGGGCCTTGCGGTACCCAGTGTCACATGTGGCCCAACCTAGGCAAGTGCAGTGGCCTTAGGTTGAGAATTTCAGGTGCTCCCGCACCTCCTGTGCTACGCTAATACAAGAGCTTGTGATCCGCTGGATCGAAGATCCAGTAGTCACAGGAAGAGGTTTCGCAAACTTGAAGAAAATCCTCTGAGGAGTCAAATGATTTTGCGCAGGTCCAGAGTCTTTAATACTCACCATTTGATCTTCAATCCGACGGACCACGGGCTCTCGTATCAGCGTAGCACAGGAGGTTCCGGAGCACCTGAAATTCCCCCGGAGGAAACATTGCAAACATTACACACGTTTATTGCATAGCATGGTGTGTTGAGACTAGTGTGGTGCAAGCTACCACAACGAAATTCTTTTCCTAACTTTACTCATCTGACATAGGGCCTAGCTGTACAATATTTAAGGCACATCTAGATGTGCATTAGCAAACCTATAAAAAAAGTTCGAGTCATCTAAAGTAATTACCCTCCCATGATTTTTCTTTGAACTAGCTAGGAAATCTTTCTCATGGCACAAGCATTCCATAAAGATAATCATCTGAGAGTTCTCCTTACATGTAACACATATATGAAGTTAGTATTTCAATGTTAGAAGGAATTTTGCCACTGATGTGTATCTTATTATCCTTAGTTTTTTATTTGTCTCTCTTATATTATAACTTGTGTTGCACGAATTTACTGATATAGCTTAGTGACCCGATCTCTCATAACTTTTTTATGACCTGATTATTTCAGCTCCTTTATTTTCGGGCATCACTTCCTGCTGAAGGTTATAATCAATTTAGTTGTATCTACAGTACTAGTGATTCTACTACTGTCAGTTCTTATCCTTTGCATCAAAATGAGAAGGCGAGGTAAGAGACCGTGCAGAAACACATAATACACGATTCACAAATACAAGTGTTTAAAAATGGAAGCTTTCATTACCTCTGGCCTATCCATAAAGCATGCATATGCCCCCTCATGAAAAAAAGTGTGAACTGATTAAGTAACACATGTATGCTTGATTGCTTTATGAAGGGAGGACAAGGAACAATATCAAGCGGCAGAATGAGGCGAGTATTACAACATCTCACTCTCATAACAACAATGGGCATAGATTGTTGCGAGTCGATAATCGTCAATTCACGTATAGTGAATTAGAAGCCATCACAAATGGTTTCCAACGAGTAATTGGCCAAGGAGGGTTTGGGAAAGTCTATCATGGTTTGTTGGAGGATGGCACACAAGTGGCTGTGAAACTGCGTTCTAATTCGTCAGATCAAGGTGAACAAGAATTCTTGGCAGAGGTGAGTATTATTGTGATTTGCTCAAGGTTAAGTGTATCAATGCCACTATCGATTCAGTTTGGTAATACATGTGTCGTTTTGGTTTCAGGCTCAAACCTTGGCTAAAATTCATCACAAGAATCTTGTATCTTTAATTGGCTACTGCAAAAATAGGGAATACATGGCTCTTGTCTACGACTACATGTCTCAAGGAGCTCTAGACGAACATCTTAAAGGTAAAAAAAGTACTCAGTTCATTCATGCCTCAAACCCCCAGCAACGTAACTTATATTTTGATGTAACATAAATATATAGTTCTAACAGTGAGAAGCGTGCACCATACAAAAATATAAATACAAACGATTTATCTGATAATATTTGCATTGTAGGGAAAGATAACAACCCAAGAACTTTGACATGGAGAGAGAGACTCTGTATAGCTCTAGAATCCGCAAAAGGTAGTTTTTCTACATGCCATCGTACTCCCTCTGTTTTTATTGACTCCGCATATTAGGTTTGTTTGAAGTCAAACTTTTTATATATACTTTAAACAAGTTTGTAGAAAAATATATTAACATATACACCACCAAATCAATACCATTAGATTCATCATTGCATATATTTTCACATTATATAAATTTGTTACTCTAATGTTCATATTATTTTCTACAAACTTGGTAACTTTATAAAGTTTGACTTTGTCAAAGCTAATATGCGGAGTAAATAAAAACTGAGAGAGTATATAGAAGAGTAAAGTTTGATTGTAATGTGGTCGGGGATGTGTCATGTTGATGCATGTAGGGCTTGAGTATCTACACAAGGGGTGCAACCCACCCCTCATTCACAGGGATGTGAAGACGTCCAATATCCTGCTAAATGCAAAGCTAGAGGCTAAGATTGCAGATTTTGGCTTGCTCAAGGCTTTCAATAGCAAAGGTGATACACATGTTTCCACTGCAAGGGTGGTTGGCACACTAGGTTACCTTGACCCTGAGTAAGTGCAAAATTCTCTAAAAAAACTGGTTACGCTCTAAAAATTTCTCACCAATTATTAACAACTAAATTAATCTACTTTGTTTGTCTAAATGTTAGTATAGTTCACACATACGTGCTCGAAATGTATGCTCTGACTTCTCACACACACAAAATCAGAACATGGCCCCTTTAATTGAAATGTTTACCTTCAACTTGGTCATTTGAGTACAGCTATGGTTAAAAAATCATGATTTCTGCATGAATCAAAGTTTTCTGTGAATTTCTGCAAATTATTATGAAATTGGTATGAATTAAAAAAATGTCTTGACGAGTTTGCCAAGCATGATTGTTCTTGATACTAGAACAATTGATGTATTTTGTACTTATTTAGGTACCATGCTACATACCAGTTGACCAACAAGAGTGATGTCTTTAGCTTTGGCGTAGTGCTACTAGAGATAGTCACTGGGCAACGACACATCCTGAAGGACCCTGAGCCAATAAGCATTGTTCAGTGGGTGAGGCAACGCTTCGGATGTGGCAACATCGAGGGCATAGTGGATTCACGCATGTGTGGTGGCCACGATGTCAATGGCGTGTGGAAAATTGCGGACACTGCACTCAAATGCACTGCCCAGAACCCTTTACAACGGCCAACTATGACTGACGTGGTAGCGGTGCTACAAGAGTGCCTTGAACTTGAGGTTGCACATGACGATGTTAATGGAGGGTTTTACTCAGTCAGGAGCGGTGGCAACATGAATTGCTATGGTCAGTACGACACTGGCTCATCTACTAATGTGAGCCAAAGCAGCACTATGTTTGAGCTAAAGCATTTGGGTAGGGTGCCAATAATGTCTACTGACACTGCCCCAGCTATTAGGTGAGAGGCTTTAGACAATGAAAGCATCCACCTCTCGTTTGCGAGTACTTTCCTATTCCATGTAAGGAATTAAATAAGCCTATACGATGATTGTTGTTATTATTAGTGGAAGTAGGAATGTATAAAAGTTCAGACATTTAATTTTTCTATTGGCTTTTCTTGACAATAGGTGTGAATAAGATAAGGTGTATTGTCAACTATTACGGGATGTTGTGGGGAGTCTGGTGATTACAATTTTTTTTCGAAAAGGAGGATTACCCGGCCTCTGCATCATCGAGCCATGCACATAGCCATTTTATTACATTATTTCACAGAACTCAACAAAACAAATACATGGATCAACCCAAAGCCACCTTTCTGGCAACTATTGTCCCTACATCTAGAAGCTTGATGATGTGTCCTGACCTCGCATCAACACCCAACATCTATTTTGGCGGCCCCACCAGGCCACCCACCAGCAAGCCGAGAGCACCAACCGGTGTAGCTAGACCCTACACGCACCACATGCACGCGCTCTAGAATTATCCGTCGCCATCTTCCACCATCTCACATTCAGAAATAATCAACGCATTCATCTTGCCAAGGAGTTCTATCGTCGACATCACCATGACCCCAGACAGTGCCACCATCCTGCCCACGTCCATCAACACGCGGTCGACGCCTAGACTTCGTTGTGCCACGCCACCGAGACGCACTGTCATAGATGTTGTTGATGCAACGCCGCTCCACCTCTTGTCCCCTTCAGCCAGCATTTGCTCCAAAACGATGCCCCAGGATGGACAATGGCACTGAAGGTATTGCCAATGTTTGATCCAGAAGACCCAGATCTAGGATTTCCCCCAGAACAACCCGAGTCAGGTGACGCAAACTGCAAGACGATGCCTCGACAAGTAAACAATGTCAAAGACGTCGCCATTGTCCGCCATGACTAGGTCGGCACGATTTTCACCGACAATCGTGTCACCCCCGATCTCGCAGGTGAATGAATCCGCACAGAGCCGCGCCACGAAGACGTACATCGCTGCCAGACCGCCTGCAAAGGACCTCCATCCGCCCTTCACTGGCCCCTCCACACGCCACCGGTCGGCCAAGGCCATGCCATGAAAATCTAGACGGGACTCCAGATTCAGGGCCACCACAGCCACCCTCCAACTAGTAGGGTAACCCACCGGATCACCCCGCCGGCCATGGAGGCGCTGGCCACCGCCACACACCAAGGCCGCCGCCATGATTGTGCCGGCTAAAGAAAGAAGGTGTCACCACGAGTCAGATCCGGGCAACAGGGCCTAAATCCATCTTGCAGTGACGAGAAGGCCACCACCGGATCCACCACACCGGCTTTCGCCGCCGAGCCACGAGCACAACAAACCGTCCATGGTTTTGTGCCGCTGTGAGGAGAAACTGCCCTGCCGTTGTCATCCGCGAGGCAGGCTTCACCAGTCGGCCTCATCCGGTAGTGCCCAAGGCCAGTGGCTATGGAGAAGAGGGACGGGGAGGCGGAGGCAACTAGGGTTCACCCATGCCACCTCTTTGGCAGCGGCGGATACAGGAGGTGCGAGCAGGGGCTAGACCCCTCCCCCCACTTGTCGCACCCACCAACTCACTTCAGCGGGCAGGGTTTTTTTTTAGGCAACGTCGCGAAGCTTTATTAACTCGTCACAATGTTTACAGGGACGGATGGTAAATTCCCGGGGTTGCCTAACCAAACATGGCGGCCACCATCGAGAGATAATGCATGCTTCGCTATGTTGTGAGCTTCATAATTAGAGCTCCTAAACTCATGACTAAAATTGCAAAATTCAAAAGCTACAAAATGATCTAGTATTTCATGTACTATTGCGCCATAGCTTGCCCGATTTTCCTTGTGTAAGCTTTGAACCACCAGCTTGCAATCCAAGGCAACTTGAATTCGTCTGAGATATAAGTCATCTACCAAAGCAAGAGATTCCTTGATGGCTAGGGCCTCAAGAGTTGCAGGATCTGTAATATTCGGAAAACAGAGCGAAGATGCTCCCAAGAACACTCTGTCTTGATCCCTGCAAATAACGCCAACTGAGCCAAATCCTCTCCTGGAAACAGCTGCATCAACATTGATTTTGGCCTTGCCAGCCGTCGGTGCTACCCAGCTCGAAGATCTCCGAACTGTAGGTGTAGGCTGCGTTGATGTTTTAGCATTAATGAACCGCAACTCACCCAAATAGTTCGATATGAAGTTGTCAACCGATTGGGGGTGATTGAAAAATATCCTCATAAATGGCTTTCCTCCTTACTCTCCAAATTGTCCATATGGTGACAACTAGGTGATCAAACAGATCCTATTTCAAAGATTCATACAAAGCAAAAAGCCACTCTTTTGGGGTATCCTCAGGCCGATCAAGCATGGCTTCTACCAGATCATCGGGGGCCAAGGACCAAATACTTGCTGCCATCGGGCATGATATTAGTGCGTGCTTCCATGTATCAACTGATCCACATAACAAGCATGTATCCTCTGTCTCCATGTGGCGATATTTTAGAACTGTTCCCGTCGGCATAGACTGCCGCGCCAGCCTCCACACAAACATCTTGAGTTTTGAGGGAACTTTGAGATGCCATATCATAGCCCACTTGCTTGTCTCGTTGCGATCATACGATGCCCCCCTCCTCCTCGTACAGCCATGCCTCTCTGCTCTGCTTCGTACGTAGAATCAAACGATATGCCGACCTCACAGAGAAACCACCCCGGATTTCCTCATGCCATGCCCAAAAGTCTGCCACGCTTCGCGTACACAACGGGATTTTGAGGATAGCTTATGCGTCAACATGAGTGAAAACTGCCCGGACCAGGCCCTCGTTCCAACTTGCTTATGAAACGTTAATGAGTTCTGCCACTCTTTCAGTGGGTCTTGTTGAAGCGAGGTGATCGGGCGCTTAAAGCTGTCCCTCAGGATTCAGTTGTCATGCCATATACTCGTGGATTCTCCATCCCCAATTCTGCGTATGAGCCCTGGAGCCAAAATGTCCCTCTCGTCCAAAACAGCCCGCCATATTTGGGATGGATAAGCTCCCATTTCAGCCTGTGGCAAAGTACAGTTCGGGAAGTAGACAGCTTTCAAAATCCTTGCACTTAGTGAGGAACTTTCTGTTAAGGTCCTCCAATCTTGCCTTGCAAGGGGTGCTAGGTTAAAAATCTCCAACTCCCTAAACCCTAGCCCTCTCAAGTGCTTTGTCATGGTTAGGATATTCCATGCTACCCAACTTGGCTTCCTACGTCCTTGATTAGAACCCCAAAAAAACTGTCGAATGGTGGATGTAATGTTGTCATATAGCCCTCGGGGTAATCTGAAGCAAGACATTGAGAATACCAGAATCGCTTGAGCTACTAACTTTATCAGAACTTCCTTCCCCGCCGATGAGAGTAGTTTTTTCATCCACCCTTTGATCTTCTCCCAAACCCTATCTCGAAGATATCTGAACGTTCCATTCTTTGAGTGACCTACATCAGTAGGCATGACAAGATAGCGCCCGCTCAACGATTCATTGTGAACCTGTAAGTTGTTTTTCACCGTTTCCTTCAAAACAGCTGGGCAGCCCTTACTGAAGAATATCGAAGATTTTTCATTGTTGATCCTTTGTCCAGAAGCATTACAATGAGTATCAAGTAGGTTTGACACAGCGATCGATCCTTCCTCACTAGACTTGAATAGCAACGAGCTGTCATCGACAAAAAGGAGATGGTTCACAGTGGGAGCCGTGGGAGCCACCTTGATTCCTATAAAAGACGACTGAGAACTTGATATAAGGAGGCACGAGAGACCCTCTGCTGCAATCAAGAATAAGTAGGGGGAGATCGGGTCTCCCTGCCGAATACCTCGGGTAGGTTTAAAAGAATCAAGCCTTTCACCATTAAAACAGACTGAAAAGGAGATAGAGGATACCATACCCATGACTATGTCTATCCAGTTTTGCTCGAATCCCAACTTTGTCATTATTCCTCTGAGATAATCCCACTCCAATCTGTCATAAGCCTTCATCATATCAAATTTTAGAGCGCAAAAACTGTTTGACTTGGCCCTTGACCGTTTCATAAAATGCAAACACTCATAAGCACATATGATGTTGTCCGTGATTAGCCTCCCAGGGACAAAAGCAGATTGCTCTTCAGATATAATGTCAGGCAGTATTACTTTTAGTCTGTTTGATATCACCTTAGATGATATCTTGTGCAAACATTGCACAAACTTATTGGACGAAATTGAGCAAGTAGAGTTGGATTATTTACCTTAGGGATTAGCACCAACACTGCATCATTAATCAATGTCGGGCTCTCTTCGCCTCTTAGAATTCTAAGAACTATAGTAGTCACTTCATCACCACATACGTCCCAATGACGTTGGTTAAAGTGAGCCGGAAAACCGTCAGGCCCCGGTGCTTTGGTATGGAACATCTGGAAAAGAGCAGTTTTAACCTCCTCTCTAGTGTAAGGGCCACACAAAGTGGCATTCATCTCGTCCGTCACCTTCTTGGGCACATGATCTAAAACTGCTTGCATATTTTGCATCCCCTTGGACTGATATAACGTCTGGTAAAAACCACTCGCTAAGGCTTTCAACTCTCCCGGGTCCGTTATTTCCACACCGAGAGAGTTCTGTAATGCTTTTATCATGTTCTTCTTCCGACGGAGACTGGCTCGCGGGTGAAAGAACTTGGTATTTTTATCTCTAGCAGACAGTCACTCCACTCTTGCTCTTTGACGCCACATAATCTCCTCCCGGTGATACATCTCTATCAACCCTTCATTAATCTTTAGCTCTGCATGAGAAGGTCCAGTCCGCAAGGGATCACTCTTTAGCTCCTCGAGCATTTGCACTAGTAGAAAAAGGACCTAATATGAGACACATTAGTGCCGGTTCGATTTTGAGCCGGCACTAATGTGTCCATTAGTGCCGGTTCCAACGGCTAGCCAGCCGTTCCCATTAGTACCGGTTCGTGGCGAACCTTTAGTACTGGTCCGTGCCATGAACC